GATCACGCCCTTTAAGCTTGCTTCGTTAACATTTTTGTTTTAAAAAATATCATGACCAGGAGCGGTACTTGCATCGCCATCGAACGCCAGCGCCGTGATGTGAATCGTCTCCTCAGACGGACAAGGTGTTCGCGGTATAGGACGCCTCTTTTCGAAACTTTCTCATGTGTAGTTCATTGGACACCACCAGTAAGTCAGGACAGATATATCTACCTTTCAAGAAATTAATCAGTACTGGAACTGTAATATATATATACTTTATAGAATATATACTTTATAAAATGCATTTAAATACTCTAATATTCAGTAATGTAGTTGACGTAACTTTTTTCTGTACCGAAAAAAGCTGGAAAATGTTTACCGTAGGACAAGAGCTAATTTTTTCTAATAACAGAAGTTCTACTATTTATAGGTCGACAGCCGAAACCACTCACTAATTACAAATTTCCCAGACTTTTCAGCTAAGTTGTATTATAACTAAATTGATAGGTGTTGATTTATGCGAGGCACTTTTTGGGAAAACGTTATAATCTATACCTACACGGAATTGAAGCTTTACAACGTCCTCCGTCGGCGATTTGCGAAGATAACTTCAGAAATTTCAGCAAGTACGTAGAGGATAGCTTTTTGAACAGGTTCAGGAAAAACTTAATGAAATCACGAAAAAAAAAGGCAAGCATGGCACAGGAAGTTAAACGTTGCTGCAGGGCATCTGATCGCAAAACACCGAAGGATCCACCAGTATGAAGAGCAACTAGCCTTCTACAACGAAAAAAGCAAAATGGAGTTGATATTCAAGAAAGCGTGTAAAGTACGAAACAAAGAACGGCTAATGTGATGACTTGACAAAAACAAACTGCCTGTAAGCTTTAAATAAGGAAAACGATTTCTCTGATTTTAATCTATGATATTTATAAGATACAGCCTATGGGCATAGGAACTGTTTATATGTATTTAATGAGACTATATTAATATAAACATATATTTCTTCGCCCGTTCTTCAAAGCCGACATTACCAGTGTTCCACCTTATCCTATTAAATACTCGGTCTTCTAGCCTCGTCGAAGCTACGGACGTGGCAGACACATGAAATATAAAGAAAGACCGGGAAATTCAGCGCGCATTGGTCCAAATGCCTCCGTAATTGAACGAATAATATAATAGAACGAGAAGTTTCCCCTACTTTACCTTTAAGTATTTACTTTAAATAAGTACTTTATGTATTTCACCCTACTTTGTCGTTTTTGATAAAATGAAATTTTAATGAACATTTGTAGAGAACAATGCTTTCATAACCAGATGATGCTTGTGTAACTGCCCTGTATGTTTGATCCTACTAAACCTACGTTGAATTTAATTTCACCCGTTGGCTTCTAGAATTCTTCTGTGTGGGCGTTTTTATTAAAAGTTTTACGGATAATTGCTACGTTTTAAGTTTTATGCGTCCGGTATCACCGTTAAGTATCCTATCAGATGGCTAACTGGCTCGCGGCACAAAAGGAAGTCTGTCTACATCTGGGTTCGAATCTTGATCACAGTGGGTCCCTGAGGTCAGGGATAAATACGTTACCCACTATACTGTCGCTAAGGTACTATACTGCCTTTGCTGTACGCGAATACAGAGCTAGGAAGGAACAGGTTCTAGCCGGAAAATATCTTTTTCTTATAATTACAGTAATTGTTCGCGTTGTACATTTAGTTCGCATAAACGTCAACTTGTTTCGTTCATATTTTGCTTATTAAGATTCTTTCAACTGCAAAATTTAGTTCTCATTCCTTTTTGGGATTCTTTTGCCTGCTTTTCTCATTACCTTCCAACATCCTGAGGAAACCGTTTCATAGAATTGTTTACCTCGTGTGTCTTGTTGTGAAACGATTGTCGCCTACCTGGTCCTCCGCTAGCTATTAATAAACCATCGATCCGGTTTCAATTTATCATACTTTCCGTGTGCGAGTTTTGTAGCCAGTGGATCCAAAAAGGCCCTAACTAGAAAACGGAGCCTTGCTTTGCCACTAGTTCTTAGAAGTTGACCTGGTTAATAGTTGGACTTTCCTAACTAATAGAGACTTACTTTCCAACTCTCATCTTTTGCGTCAGACGGAGCCTACGTTGGCGACAGAACATCTACCGCCTACTGCATAGCACAGATACGAAAGCTCACTGCTTGTGAGCCCCTGTGTGGTTTGTAAATAGCAAGCTCATGGCGGGAGTTGCAGGAACGGCCTTTTCTGTAACGTCTGTGCTGACGTTGTCCGCAGGAGAGGACCCGACAAGGCTGGACCTGGCCTGTTGAAAGAACCTTTTCCTGCCTAAAAGCTAGCTAGCCTACCCGGGTATACTCCCCAAGCCGTTTGCCGCTATGTTGTCCTCGTGTTCCTCGTTGCCCCGGTTCTCCTAAGCTGCTGCGTTTTCGACTTCTACGACTCAATGTGTATACGAGGAAGCTCACTGCATATGACCTTACAAATAGCCGACTTTCACTTTCTCCGCAGCTCGCCACTCTTTTGCTCTATGGACATCTTTTCGGCGTTGTTCAGCTAGTCGTTCTACTCTAAGCGTTGGTAGTCGTGCTAGACTTTGCAATCTTGCTCCACGACAACGAGGAGGATGGCAGAATAACTGCTGGCAAGTGACGGGGTTTGCGTAAAGTCGTCTACAGTGCAATGGGCATGCAAACCTAAAGCAATGAGATGGGTCAAAACGTCGGATCGCAATGCCTATGAAACGTTGTTTCGTTCACTGGCGGTTAGAGGCTGTAAGCAGGTTGCTGAAACCCGTCTCGTCAAATAGTGCTGGCTTCGTCTTGGCGGTCGTTCTGCCGTCGAAAAGAACCGCCATAGGGAAAGCTGCCCATATATTACACAATCTATGTAGCTATATAACGGCAGAATTAAATAAACCTGCGCAGGACTACGGTAGGGTGAAAAGAAACGGTTAGCTAGGACCTCAATTGTCTTTAACGAAACTGTTTTTTTTCCTGAAAGCAGAAAGCGTATCGCGCTATATTTCAATCGCGCACCTTTCCACTATTCACTAAATGAGAAATATTACGATATCCCAGCCGGATGACTAATTCTTCTATATGCCGCTATTCAAAAGCCAATTGTTTAAAGAACTGTTGAATCTTAAACGGGGAACAAACTGATACGTATGTGGTAGTTGTTAGCTTAACGTTATTCACACCTAAATACGATTTTATATTTAGCGAGACCTTGTAATTAGTATATCAGGGAAGGAATTGATATACTAAGATTACTAAATAAGTGTAGATGTTTCTCAACGCAACTAAAAGAGTGACAAAATAGATATTTTGTCACTGTTTTATATATGTAGTATTATTGTGAGACTATTTAAAGTAATATAGCTTAGCAAGCAACAAGATGGCATGTTTGGCTAAGGAAGCGTCAAGCGTCATTCGAAATACAGTTACACTAGGGCAAATACTTATTTATTATGTCTCTAAGTAGTAAAGCATGGCAAACGTAACTGTGTTTTGACCTACGCGCAACGGATAGAACTTCGAAAGGGGAATGGGCTAACTCGCCTCCTGTTACTGACTGTCTTTCAACCGTGGCCAATAAATAAACATTTGTTGTCATTTCGGATCCGTTCGAAGCACTGACATAGTTTTTATTTATATCAATGACGCCATGTCTATCCTACATGATAAAGGCGCCATCCTGTTGTCGTATCATGAGAATTTTCGTTGGCTGCCTGCGACGCACATGGAAGCGTCTGCCTGGTATGAAACACTCGTTCGAGAGACCGCCTGCGGTTTAGTTAGACATTATCAGTCAAAGTCAGATGTCGTTCAAAAGGCGAAGCCTGGATCCTATTAGGCTTAGCTTTGGGTGGTCGTTGCTAGGAGAAGTAGTCAGTCCATTGGTTGATTTGGTTGTTTGCTGCCGAGTTGATGCTATGTGTTGTGAACTATCAGAAACGAATCCTTCGCTTTGGACCCTACTCGACCTGGAAAGGTGCGTCTGCGCCCGCTTTAAAAGCGTATCATCCCAGCGACCCTTCGTCCCCTTTGCGACTCGCTTTCGAAAATATAATGCGCTGAATTTGAGATGTCATTCAGAAATCAAAGCTTGCTCTACTTTTTAGGTAAGTGGACGGAAAGGAACGAAGTATTTTGAGCTAAGGTAACCGGAGACGAAACACACATGGAATAGACAGGATAGGACGGTGGATATCGTTTCTCGACCGCAGCACTAGAGCACTGCAAGACGAGGCCGGCAAACGCTGAAAAAATGGTAAGAAAAGGCGAAAGAATAGAAAAACGGCCAGCAGATTTTAATGCTGTATTTCTTGGATATCTCTGTGTAGGTGTTGCATGTCTCTCAAGAAGTTGTTTCCTGCCTTTGGAATCTGTCTGTACAGCCAGGATCGGGAACATGCTTACAGCCAATATTGTCTATTGGCCTCGATAGGGCGTTGTGGCCCTTGAAGCCAGATAGTTTATCTGCCTACAAAAGGATATTTTCGTTATACTGTCTTACAGAGTGTGCCGGTGAACCGCACATGGGAAATGCCTAACAACGCTTCGGGTGTTCTTAAATCGTCGCTCCGAGAGGAAGCAAAATGAAATATATGTAGGAAACAAACACAAATTCTTTACTAAGCCATAATGGTATAATAAACGAACATAATTCTACTTGTCTACACAAGAGACGTCGAGGGGAGAGTCGCGTTAAATGCCGCTGCTCGACCTAGTTTCTACGATGATTTGTTTCGTCTTGGCATTATTGCCACCTTGCAATTGAATTGATGTTATGTAAATGCGGAAAGGAGTCGTTTCTTTATCATAAAGTACGCTATCGTAATACCATCCTTGACATGGCATAAGCCATCTAACCAGGCCATATGTACAGATGTAGAATTTCTTTTTTATTTATCTTAGAGTGCTTGACCAGCAAATGATAATATATGCTTTCATTCTCTTATGCATATCATAAAAATAATAATAAGAGATTCAGTTTATAGAAACAATTTATAAACATTTATTCACTCTGTTTATCATTTCCTTTATATTATCCTCGTATATACTCCTTTCTTTTATATTTGCCTTTTTGTCTTTTTCAACACCCTCAATATTACGCGTCGCATCGTTCTTATTCTTCACCGTAATTTTTAGTCAGGGTGTCGTTCTCTTGTTTCTCATCATTTCTCTCTCCCTGTATCTTTGCTTGTATATACACGCAGGAAGGCTATAATTTTTTTTAATTTGTTTATCCTTAATTATCAACAACGGTTTCCTTGTCCTTCTCTCTTTGTTTCTTTCTGTGCCCTCTTTTTCCTTAACCTTACCCCTCGTTCCGTTCCCTGCATCTCCCCCTCATAGCCTCGAGAGTCGCGATGGATTGTTTCTACCGATCCACCCATCTAAGATTCTTGCTTCGACTGAATCCACACGTTTAAGGGAATCCTCCAAAACACGTTACCGGGACCCTCTGATTTCACAAAATCTTTCACCGCCTGACGCGCGCGTAAACGCTAATCTAGTTATTCTCTCTGTGCAGTCTCACGTAATATATAGACAATTCAATCATACATGCTCACACCCAATACTTAACAAGGGTTCGTCACGATGGCTGCTTGCCTTGTTGCTGGTTCAGGTGTGTGTGTCGGCGTCTCTCTGCTTTGCGTATCCCTGAGCACAACTGGGCGTCAGTAGCTGTCCGTCTGCCGACGCTTCACACGGCTTCATCAGCTCTTCCACGTATATGCTAATTGTCACGTACGCCTCACTTTCACTCCGCTTTTCGTGGTTGATAGTCGCACGGATCGACGTTAACGGGGGGCATATATAGGTTTCCAACTTATTCCTGAGGTTTTGTTCATTACAAATAATAGATAACTGGGAAAAACGAATCGAGGAGTTTGCTAAATCGCTATCAAAAAGAACTCACACACGAAAAAAGTGTAGAGGAGTGCGGATGCAAGCGGCGATCTACGAGACGGAGTTTGCTTTCCTTTTCTTGTCACGAATGCGTCCCTTGGTAGACACTTGTGTGCTTTGCGTTGGCGTACTACTTCTGTCTACTCTGTGTGACATCACCTTTTGTTTTTCTAAATACTAAGCGCGCGCTGGCTTCATATAGCAGAAACAGATTAAAATCGGTACACAGCGTTAACAAGGTAGCAATGACAAGGTAGCAAAATTAACTCAGTGAATTACATGTACACTCTCTTTACCTCCGTGTTCCTGTCACACCAGGGAAGGTAATGAACTAAAGTTCGTTTATTACGCTTTTTCTGCTACATACACCTGTTTCAGATGCCTAATATTTTCGACCTCTAATACTACTCTAGATAAAAAAAGTACTTTTGCTATTGAAGATTCGCTGCATATGTTATTGAGATTTAGCGGGCCACTAGTCCGCCATCATTTTGAACTACAGTAACAAGTCCGGTCGACCTTTATCGCCCCCTATATTCCACCGGTGTTTCATCTTCACACGTAAACTCAGTAGCCGAAGTCGGCAGTAGACATAATACACAACGCACAACTCCGCACCTCATGAAACTACTACGAAACTACTTCGATTTAAAAAAATGTCGTGGGTTCGTCTGGGGTCGTTCTGTGAACCTTTGCTGAGCTCATTGTCCTAGTACCTCATCATCAACACCGTTCGCTTTTGATGTGCCTATTTGTTACTTCTATTTCATAACACATAATTTGTTAATCCTTTGCAAGTCATCACTCATAAAGCTCATCATCATCATCATCGTCGTCGTCACACAGTGTCATTTCGATTTTTTTCTGTTGTTTATTCGCATACAGACTTATTGTTATTATTACTATCATCATCATCATTTGTTAGCGACTCATTGTCTTTTGAATAATCTTTTTCAACATCTTTGTGTCTTCGTGATTTTGACAACAGTCAAAAAACCTAGTTTGTGCCTTAGGTTATTACAGCTATGCTAGTAGCGTAGATTTCGTACGGTTAGAGATAACTGGCGGTGTGGAGCATTAAAAACATCGCGTCTTCATTCACATTTTCTGAACCAGACAACTAACCGCCGGGCCTGATACCACGTTTTATACATCTCACAGTAAAAGCTCGCCCTTAAAATAATAACACAGTAAGTTCTTTAAACCTTTTGTTGTCCAGACGTGTGTGGTCATTGTCGGCCTGGCCGGGTCTTTTTGTGACCGTCAAACTTTTTTTCTTCCGTCAAATAAAAACCAATAGCTTGAGGTAACAAAACCACAGCACAGGAGTTTCATTTCATTGTTACATTGCAGTACTCCAATAGTGCTTTTGGTGGAGTATTGTATGTTATTCCTTGTTTTTTCTTTCTTTTCCCTCGGTTTCCCTCTATACAGTAAATACACGGGACGCATTTATTACATCTTGCTTTAAGGAGCTTGTAGTATTGTAGCCTCAATCATCTGTCCGTATCTGCAGTGAATATTACTATATTTCACATAGGATCAACAAGGAGCGTTACTTTCCGTAACTATCTGAAACGTAGCGACGGTTCCACCGGCGGGCGGTGATCGGTTGCGCAACGGCGAACCATCCTTTGTCGATCTTATTATTACCGGAATATCTGAATAGAACTGTTGGCTAGATTTCTTCAAGGTGATCTCTGTTCATAGATGGCCACTAAATGTGGTTTCTTGTACCAACGGGTCAACATGTGCTAAAAGGCCCGTGTGTGAATTAGTCATCTGATCCACCTGTCTCTCATCAGGCGGCGGACTGATCGAGGTGGCGGCGAGCATTGCTTTGAGCGTCGGCCGCCGAAGCGTCTGCTAGCAACGGGTGGAGCACGTCAACTGCTGCGATAGACCGTGGAAGCCTGCAAGAGTGAAGAAGTGATGAAGTAATCGTTAAATTTTTGCCTAGGATTTCGCTCTCGTCGAAGAAGACGCGGCCGTACATAGCGCTCCTGTAAAGTTATTGGTAGTTCTATCTAAGGCAACCTACCTTACGCTTTCAACAATAAATTTAAGCAGAGAAACATTATGTTGGAATTTCCTTTTAAAGCCGATTTTTCTATACGCAGCCCAGGCTTCTGCCTAACTCGCCGGTAACACGATGTATTGTAATACAATAATGTTAGATGTATGAATCCCGGGCTCCCTACGAAACGTCGGCTCATCCTTCACTGGGAAATCAGACAAACGAAGCTTTTTTTTTTTTTTTTTGAGAAAAAAAAAGGTTTTCCTACACCATTCATAAAATATCAGCTTCGTTGAGAATTCGCTGAGTGAATCAATCAGGTAATGGTGGCTCGCCCGTTGAACAGCTCAGCATCTCGACAGTGAGCATATTTGACGACAGAATGTTTACGATGAAAAAATTATCCAAATACTATCTAGCCTGTTTGGCTTCAGCTAGAAGCTGATCATTGCGGCTACGCACTACGAAGTGTTCGTGATGCCGCTTGCTACTTCAAGCTTCAATTTTCTCTATACCACAGAAAAAGCGATTCGAGTCCTTATAATATGCGCACCAGTTATAAAAACAGTAACAATAATAAGCGGTATAATAACTGAGTCATTTTGCTGCAGATCTATAGCTCTCAGAGGTACCAGCCTCTTAACGGAGACCATGCAATAACTATAATAGGCACTTAGCTTGATAAAATATCACTTTACAATGCCAGTCGCTGTGCCACATAAGAGCCAGGCGTGTGCGTCAACCGCTTACCTGTTTTCTTTTCTTTTTCTCTATGTACACGCAGTTAGTATTACAAGCTAGCTTACACGGGCCCTTTATCCTGTTCGGACATCGCAAAATGGATGTTATCACAGCATTCGTTGCACGCATATGCCCAGTTAGGATTAGCGGTATTAACGCGAAGGAACCACAGACACCAACTACGTTTCTACCGTGCCTCAACGCATTATACTTGCATACACATGATTTGCACGACGAAATGGCGCATAACTTCCGACGCATTGCGCGCACGTACCAACAGCGACAATAACAGCAGCAGCGGCGATACACCGTACTATAAGCTACACTGCCGAAAACTCGAGCGTCGTCCCCTGGCTGGTTCTGTGAAATATTCAAGACGGGCGGCTTTGAAGAATCACGACAGCAGCGACAGCGTGTAAAGCCAGGGTTTCGGTGACTAGTGGGATACCAAAGCGAACGAGGTGTATTCGGCCAACCGCTGTACGCTGGAAAGATTTTGAAAAGCCGAATGCAGAACTGTACTGCCTTCTCTTTGCCGTTGATCTTTTTCCGCCTTTTTCTCTCTCTTTTTTCACCTTAGTTCTTTCGCGCTTATCCCTTTTGCCACCCACGGCTCATGCTTTCCCTTGGATTTCTTGCATTTTCTCCCCTTCTCGCTGTTTTCTAAATCTGATTCTCCTGCTACTGCTGCTAAATCTGATGTGCTCATGGCATATCCTGCAGCTGCCGGTAACATAGCCAGCTTCCCGCTCTGTAAGTCCGTTTTTTCATTCTACGTGGTTAGTGTGGTACTGGGTAAGGACTCGATTCGACTGGTGCCGCTTGCGGATCAAATAAGTATTGGCGGCGGTTTTGCCACTCTAGGCCGTGCTTGTTGCTGCTAGAGAAAGATGAGGGTATCCTCTTGCCGTTCTACTAGTGCCAGCAACAGCAAATTCACAAATCTAATAAAGGCAAACACCTCGGCGATTACGCGATTAGGTGATTATGTGGCAACGGCGCAGGCAACTCCATATGCGTTGCTGCCGACGGTCCGTCGCCTCATTCTATATCAGTCTCTCCATCTTTGCCCTGCTTTGCCTTCTGCAACCACTTGCTCTAGCATTGTCGGTGGGCGACGGCGGTGGCGGTCGCAGTAGTTATTGGCTAGTGAACAAACGAGCGAAGCACGATTATGCCACACGGCAAAGCGAACGAGTACTCCTTACTGGGCCCGTTCCTTTAACCAGTTGAAAAGGTGGGAAGGATGGCTTGCTTTGCCAAGGGCGAAGCAAGAATGGCAGGACGTACTACACATAGGACGTCGTGTAGCAGCATCAGAAACAAAGCTTTGTGAGGGGTGGAAAAATTGGTATACAGGAACTGGGTCGGCGTATGGCGTATTTTCGGGGGAGCGCTGTGGGACTGTGGTTTTTGTTTGGTGCTTCCCTTGATGCTGCGGGAGATGTAGCCGATAGAGCTGTGTCACTCCAGAACTGCTCGTCGGCTCGTTCACAGGCCAGGACTGGGAATAAATGCGGTACACAGTGTGGTTCTTGTTGGCAACTTCGATGGAGCTAGTGGGGCATGCACGTACACGGAAGCAAATGGGCATAGAATATTGCTTTGTTGCGGTGGCTAGCTCGTGCTAGCTTTGGGGAAGCGGTTAAGTGAAGGAAGAGGAGGCAGAAGCCTAACGGAAACAGGTAACTCAACAAAGACAGGTTTGCTTCGTCTATTGACAGAAGGACGATGTTGGCTGAACACGGCGCAAACTTCAGTCCACCTTAGCTAGCAGATCAACTGCGGAAGACAGAAATAAGAAGCATCTGTAAAACAAAACATATCTTTCTGTACGAAAAACATATAAAGAATAGAGAACAGACAGAACATTGCAATATCTAGAAGAAGGGAACGTATACATTACCGCGCGATCCTACTTTCTATCGTATCCATTCATTTGCTTTTTTCAATTGGGTCGAAGAAGCTCAATGGTAGCTGAAGCTTCAAAAGCGGAAAAGTGACTGCTGTAGCCGGCAATTATTCCTGAGATCTTTAGAATTCTGAGATTGCTAGTGTCTGATTTAACCTTAAACAAGACGTATGGAGATATCTTGAAGTGGTCAGAAACTGACCTTTGAAGTAAACACATACGACTCGATCAATGCGGCGCGGTCAACTTAAGTAGTATCTTAATTTCAAATAGGAATTATTCCGACCGCATGCGCAAGTCTCGGGAAGAAGATGAAGAACCGCAATCTTCATCGGACCTAGCAGACACCGCATCACGAATTGCCTAAGGATCCAATTGCTACTAAAACTAAAGTGAGAGACTCGATTTAAAACCGAGGATTGGACATACATGAATGGCGACACAACAGAGGTTGTGTTTATGCGATTAGATCCAAGGAACCACGTGTACCCTTTCTACACAACCGTAAACAACTGACCCATGATTGAATGTGCTTCGAACGTGCTGACGTTCGTATTCAACTAGGCGAGTTACGCAATATACATAGAAAGTATCACGGTACAGCTTCACATATGCAGAGCAGCTCACACACATCTGAAGAGAGAGTACACAATAGCCATCTATTTCCCTTGCGAGCGTCGAAAGTCCACATACGCACGGCGAACGGTCAACGCCGTATCTGCTACAGTGAGGACTATGGTGAAGCACCAGCGGCACCAAACTATTGCTTCTGATTGAATTCTCAAGAGACTAGCCGTCCCGCTAGCCAAAACCACGAGTCCACTATTGTCGCCGCGCTGCTGCTGCTTGAGGTATACGTGCTTTTTTCTATGCCACCATCTTCACCGATTTTCCATCTTTACTTGGTTTTGTTTATTGGGATTCCCCCTAATGGACCGACGTGTCATATAGGCTTTCCTGACTGCTGGCTCACCTCTTAAACCCACCAATTCCTTAGCACCCCTTTCTCCGCACTCGCAGATCAAGCACCCTAGGGTATGTATGGGAAGACGACAAGCGCAGGGCAAAGCTTTTTAGCTAGCAAGTAAAGCAAGCAAAAGCTGGGCAACGGGGTCGGCATAAAAACGGCAACGGAAAAGCAGTATCGGCCTGCCTGAAGCGAGTCTGGTACGTCTTGCTCTCTAACAAAATCGTTTGTCCTAAATGAGGTTAGGGGCGGTCACGCAGCTCTGGTCACGCCTCCAAAGTATTCTACTTCTGCCATGTAGTTTAAGTTCCAGTTTCATTTTCTTTCTCTTATAGATCCAATGATCATTCTAAACAATAGTCGACCCCGAAAAACTTATAGTCGGTGCAGGGAATGTATCAGGGAATACAACAGGGAGTATGGAACTGGTTAGAGTGGCCGAACATAACTTTACAGATGAGAATCTCACGCGTAAGTTCAAAATTCAGCCTAAACAGTTCACCCTAGTCAAATTTATATCATTTACTGTTTTTGTGCGCCTGTATGGCGAACTTCTCTTGCGGAAATGATTATTTCAAGATAGCTTAATTCTAAAGCACCGCTACCATCCATTGGTTTCATTACTATGCCAGCAATTATTTTCTCGAATTCGAGCGAAAGTGCTTCTTCAAACTAATTGTAAGGTATATTTGTAAGGCTGACTATTTAGACGTAGCATAGAATTAGATACTAACTGGTCGTAGCAGTTAGGACGAATTGCAATTTAAGATTGCTCTGGGATGCTTTGTTTCTATTAAGCCCTCTTACTTCGCTGTTACACTACTGTGTATTTGTATGTTTGTGAACTAATTGGCTGAAATTAACATAGTTTTCATTACGTTTATTTAGACCTAGTTTTTACGCGTTGCTCTATATAGCATTGCATTTGTATAATGTTTTAATAATTTGGGTTTTTATCTTTGTCTTTTTTACTTTTTTTGTGATAATTTAATTAGGGATTGATTGAAATTATATTTAGTTTTTCAGGTGTTTGTTTCTTTACCGGAAATTTACCTGGTGTCGTCGCTGTGGCATAGATATGCTCCTCGTTGTGGAGCGTGCCGCATTGGCCCATCACCCCCATAGACGACATTTTCGGGTCGTCTGCAAACACCAGAAAGGATCAACACATATAAACGCTATTCCGTTTTAAAGAAAAAAAAAAACGCTCTTTCAAAGGCATTTACCTTGTTAGTCGCTTACTTTCGCCATTCCGTGCCGCTGTCGCTGCTGCTCAAGGAGCATTACCGACTCGGCATCAAATGGCTATGATCCCTGACTTTGCGTGATCGCACCGACCAGACGAGCGCTGAATGCCGCAAGTATATCATCATGCTATATATGTACATATATATAGGGGAAGACGTCGCATACATGCATCACGATACATCTTAAGGTGTAGATGCCGTGTTCTCTTTTGTCGAACTAAACATGAACAGACTGCATGCGCTTACCGAACGCCTTGGGTGCAGCATAATCGTGGCGACAGCAATACAAAATGATGAGGCTTAGCCCCGTTGCGATATCATCGGTGCGGTTATGGCGTGTACGGGTATGTAAACGGAAACAAAGACTAGGGAAGGGAAAGGCGAAGAAAAACGAAGAAGAAAAGTGAGTTTGGCTGGCCGACTCCGCCTTGTCTCACTTACCTTGCTTATGCACACATTGCATGATGGGCGATTCGGTGTCCTGGTACGGAACGTTGCATCTCTTGCTCGAAGATAAATGCGGGACCTCTTGAAACAGGTAAAAATCTTCCGTGAAATCTGGCTTTCTTTTGTTGTCTGAAAAATGCCGCCAGCCAAACCAACAAAACAAAGAAATGAGAAAATATCACCAACAGTTAGAAAGAATTGTTGAACGGGGAGTGGTGGGGGATGCGAAACAAGGAAGCCATATCATTATTTCGACGTACACCTTTACCGAACGTCTGGCACAGGAGTGGCTCTTGTGTTGGTCCTGGTTATCTTTGTATTGGTTATTTTGTAGGAAGACGCGCGTGTACATGTAGGTATGTGTGTGTGCACATACACTTGAGGATTCAAACATACACGTATCTGGATATTTAAGTATACGGCACTTATATGTACACATACTTGTCAGTGTACAATGTGCAACAGACGCAATTTGACTAGGCTAGCCCTTGCTTTCGTGTAACACATGTCCCTCTGCAGTCTTGCCTTTTCACTCAGCTTAACGTTCTTACCTTTACATTGTAAAAGATAAGTTTTGCCACGCATCCGTAAAATGAACCAAGCTAGAGATGACTGAAAGCTGATTAGCGCTAGGAACAGACGTAAAAATTTGCCGTCGTCTTCGGCCTGGTTCCCACGGCGTGGGCCAGTTGGTCTCTTACTGACGCTGAAAGGCAGGGTTATAATGTGCGATAGGCCCATGATACATTCTGAGTTGTTCCGCGACTTGTAAGTTGTCACTTGACAACCTATGCATGCTTCGCGCTCTGAAGTAGTGGTTACCTCGTCGGTCAAGTGGGCTGGCTCACCATCCGTGGCCATCGGGCATTTTCGAAGCGTGTGTGAAAAAAAACAACTGGCATTTTAGTGGCTTTCGTAGGTATGTGTATGGCTGTATCTCTACAGATTGTATTGTGGCGCTGTATTTTAAAGGGGACGGTGCCGGTTTTGTTGTAGTACTTACGGACCAACTGCGGCGTGGACACAGAGTTGGTGACCTGACTCTTTTTTTTGTACCAGAACAATGCGAGCGCACACAAAAGGAAAATGCCGCCCGTGATAGCAATTGTCAGCGAAACCTGTACGATGATGGTTGTGTATCGGTTGTGGGCCATTGTCGATGACGCCGAGTAGTCCTGAAGGGACGATTCCAGCGAGGTCACTGCAATAGATAGCAGATCGACACACACACACACACACACACACAGATAAATGAACAAGATCAAAACACATACGAATGCGATACAAGTATTATTGGATGTTCGCCACAGGAAAGATGGCTCCGAGCTGATCAGTGGCGCTCGGGCACATAGAGCACACGGGAGCAGACAGGCAGCGAGCCAAATAGACGGACGTACACACCAATAAATCGATCATGCAAAAAAAAGCTGTATATCTATCGCGCCGACCGAGGTTTAACGCAGAGAGGATAAGCGAAAAGAATGAACCAGTAAATCAGTCATCTAGCTAGTTATAATGCCTACCGGCTTCTGCTGTTGGCCGTATTTATTTGCCGCAAAACATGTCAAAAGGCCTGACCTAGTTATTAGAATCATTATGACAAGGTCCAGGGGACCACACTATCTGAATGGGTTTCGTAGCGACCGGTGGATCGGCTGGCCCAGAAGAACACTGATAGATCAACCTAAATATCTTGTTTAAAGAAGGTCTAAATAGAACATTATATGTAAGAAAAATCAGTCAGACTCACCTCCAATAGGCAGCGTTGTAAACTGATAGTCTTGGCTAGTGGGTCCTGCGTCGCTCGTAGCGACCACCTTGACTTCGTACGTCGTCGAAGGGCTTAGTTGCGCTATGGTGTACCGGTCACTCGAGCCTGACATCGTGTCGCCGGTGATGTACCAGTTACGGTTGCCGCGCTTTCGGTACTGAATATTAAAAGCATTGATTGGACAGCCCGTTGAACGCCAGGCGTCCAGAAGTAGCGTGGCACTCGTTGTGTTGGGAACGATAAACTGCTTGTGCGGGGAAACTGGCGCTGTCGATTGGGCAACCAGCGTGGTCCGATAAAAGAGAAAAGCAGATCAGAGAAAAAGGGGACGGAAAAGGTACGGTAAAAGCGATATTATTTCACGCCTGTATGTGGAAGACGATCATCTAAAGTTCAACGAGCAATATCTATCTTCCGACAGATTGAGGATCGCTAAACGCTTCTCAAACACTACGTTAGTGGTCTCAGCGCGTTCTTCCTACTTTGCGTTGCGATTCCCTCCCCTTAGCGTAGTGCGTCCCGGCCGTTAGAATGGTCGGATGAACGTCAGTCCTGGCAGTCAGGAAGTGGACCCGGTACAAGCGAGAGGTCATCAAGCGAAGGGAAAAGATCTTCACAGCAAAGTGTCAGTAAGGCCTTCAAGGAAAAGGATGGAGCAGATCTGCTGTGGGTAGAGAGAAGGATGGTCTGAGCAATAGGTTGGTGGGCAGTTGGATCTTGAGGGTGGGCGTATGTGGGCTCAGGTCAGTCAGGTACTTACGTCTTCCCTGGGTGCGGATCTGCACTTCGACGCCAGGTTCACCCGTGCCCAGGCTGTTCGAAGCGATCACGTAGAAGCGGTACGAGGTGCCGCATGCTAGCCCGGACACAACGTGTGTTGCCTGATCCACCGAAAGCTTTAGTTTCCGCCAGTCGTTTTTGTCTGATGCATAGTTAAGCGAATAGTCGGTGTTGGGCGCAAGCTGGTTGGGATTCCAGCGAATAATCACGCTTGTGGCGCTGACACTCTCCACATCGATAGATGGCGAAGTTGGTGGCGCTAAAAGACAGAGTGACAAAAATACAACGAACATCTATTAGCAAAAACGTGCTCTACTTTCTACGTTATATTGTTGCCCGCGGGTACGCCGTGCATCCATTCGTTCACTTATACCTGAAAAAATATAACACTTTTACACCGGCCAAGTTGCAATTGATATTTTGTGATGACTCCTGCTCTTTCTCACTTTTGTCCCTCGCTTTCCGTTCCCCTTTTTAGAGCTTCTTTTCCTTACGACTGTTCCGCATTCGCCGGCTCAAAGCTAAGGGACGAGAATGGCGTTAAGATGTTACGCTATAACGACAAGAGACTACGGTGATCGAATGGCTGACGGTGGGCGGTATGGCTTTTGAGCGGCAGCTCCACCAGTGGAAAGTAGGCCGTAACAGAGCGTCTTCCTCTTTGTACTAATCGTGCTTCTAGGACGCGCTTTTCGTCTATGCCCTCTCGTTTCGTCTGCTTGGCCCGCATGCTTCCAAAAACTACGACGATCACTCAAGCGATAATACCATTACCGCCGAACACCACGTTACAGCCACCTTCCGACCATGGCGCCCCCTTCCACGTTTCGCCGTACTAGCCGCTAGCACCACTGCTACCCCCTCTAACCACCAAGCCCAACCACCATCACAAGTAAGGCAATGCCAGCGATGCAGGGTAAAAGAACCTAAGCCAGCCAATGCTACCCGTTAGGCTACCGATTGCTTGGAAGCCGGCCGTATAACTAGTGGAAAGGCACTAGGTTCTGTCAGGCATACCCGCCTATGATTTGAGGCTAGAGTGGCAGCGGCGGCAGTAGCGAGCGGTTGGAAAGGCCTCACAGCACGGGCTACAAGGCGGTAAGTCACGTGGCTAAAACGGGAGTGGAACGGATTGGATTAGAAGTAGGGGAGGTTGTGGGTAAAACGAGGAGCGATTTTTTATTCGATGTTGCGCTAGTTGGAAGCAAAGCCAGCAGCGGAAGTAGCAGCTCTCCATAAAGTAAGTAGAAACGATGGAAAAGGGGGAACAGCCAAACGATAGGATGGGCGGAGAAGCGGGCTGCTTAGCGAGCCAGCTATTAGGTTTGGGGAAAAGCTGGAAGTAAAAGGGCTGGGGGTGTCGTAGTCGCCCTCGCACCAATTAGAGGAGGACTGCACGATTGGTAGTGGTCGTAGCGACAGTAATGCTGGGGGCGTTTCTGCTGCTGCTGTTTCTGCCTTGCAGTAACAGAGCAGTGCTAGCGGTGGAAGCGGAGGAAAAAGAACGAAAAGAAGGCCTAACAACGAAGGAAGCAATCGCTGCGACTGAGGCTGAAGCTTGGTGGCCGCTGAGGGACCACGCCACTATGGTTTTCCGGCTGCGCGGAAAAAGATGTCCTTTTTGGAGAACCCCCTCGAGCGACATTTTTGCCCGCTATACTAGCCGACCGGCCGAGCAGTTCCGGCCGACCGGCTGAGAGGTTCCGGCCGACCATCCCTAGTTCTTCTAGGGCACTAGCATAAACAACGCCAGCCTTAGTGTAACAGGAGAGGCAGCAAAAGTACGGTCGCCGCCATTGGCTTTCTTTTCGTTGAGTACACCGTTGTCCACCGCTAGTTGCAGTCATAGATGACGAGAGGGGGGGGGGGGGGGATAGAAGGGCAAAGAAAAAGAGTACGGAGCTGGTGTCGCTGCTTTTTCCGTTAGATTTGAGGAGTAAATAGCTCTCACTGGATGCCGACGAAACCTCATCACCCCTTTTATTGACACTTAGCTCAGATACTCGACTTTTATCACATAGCGATCAATATGGATGAATCTGAACTAATAATGACGGCGGCGACAGCACCAGCTGAAATTTCCAACATATATATTAAGATATACCGCACACATGGCACAGGAGGGAACACGAGAAAAAGGAAAATAGGTCAATAAGAACAATAGGTCAAAAATAAGAACTATGCCAGGAAGAAACCAAAGGAAAAGTTTGCAGAGCAGAAAAACGGAACTAGTCCTTACACGATAAAACATCGATGGCCATATGAATTAGCGTTTTTCTTTTCAGGAAGAAATAGAGAGCGAAGGACGACATCTTGCCTATCTCCACGCAGGCGTATCAGTCCAAGAATGAAAAGTGCCGACCGTTAACGTTCTGTAAGTACACTTCAAAGGCCTATTGGGTCGTTTTCTGTTCTTCTGCTTTGCTAAGCCAGTGCGTCAGTAGCCACCGAGATGGTGGTACTAGGATGGTACGAGTAATAAATGCGAAGCAAGACGAGAGAAAAAGAGTGTTGGACAGGGATGTACAGACGGTGAGCGCGGGGGAAGGTACGATTATAAAGAGTCTATAGTTTTACGTTTCTACCAGCTGCTAGTTGAGTTACTGTAAATAGTAGTGAGTATGGTCAGTAAAGTAAACTAACGAAAGAAGAACATAACCCCTTTTCGATGTGCTCATCGTCGTCTTCTTCGTTGTTGCATGCGGTCGTTAGGCAGGCAGACTAACGAATGCCCAGAGAAATAGGATAGTGGCCCTGTTCAACGCCCTCGTCGCTGGGCAACCAAGGAGGTTGCTAGAAACGTAGAGAAGTTTAGGAAAGAAACTGCTGCCGCTGCGTCGTCCACTGCCGCACGAATGCGACGAGCCTCTTGGGACCACCTAATCTGCGCACTCCTGACGCAGACGGGACGCGGTGAGGCCAGGACTTGCTCACACGTGGGCAGCAGCAGCAATAGTTTTCGTCGTTGTCGTAGTAGCGACATTATGTCGCCATAGAAAAAAAGAAGAGATGATGAGCCAAACAAACTATGCTGCTCTCATTGGGTCACACTGTGCCGGTTGACGTTTTGGCAGCGCTTTCGCCATTGCTGTACCGAACTTTGGCGCCCACCGACAACCCGAACGATATAGGCCAACAGGCTTGACGCTGAATGGGCTGGTCGGCTGTTATGAGAACGCCCCCACTTGTCAAGCTTACCCTCACTATCACTGATACTAGCAGAGCACGCTTTCACGAATAACCCCAACAGTGCTCGCCGCAGCCACCCCGACCGTGCAGAATGACTGAACTTTACCATCGTGTCTCACTCTAGAGACCACTTGGTTTGCACTCCGTTCAGCGGTGGCAAGATCATCGGGAGCAGGCGACATTACGTTGAGAAGAGAAATAACTCTCCATACTTCTACTTTACGCGTGCATATGCATACGGTCGCGGTTTGTACATTGCCATACAAGCAGCAGATAGCTCTGGCCGACAATAACATGAAATTTGGCTTGTAAAGGTGCAACTAAAAGCTCGGCACCAGCCAATGAACCAGCCAGTGGCAATATAGGAATCGCTGGGAAAGAATTGTGTAGAAAGAGGAATCCTTAGTTGTGTTCAGTTGCAGGGCGAAAGGTTGGAAAAGCTCAGATAGAACAGAAACGGGGTGTAGCATTAGGCAAGAGCAAGCGGTGGCAGTAGCGCCAGCAACAAGGCAGCCTGCAGCCTAATTGTTATTGTTCGGCAATTATCAAAGTTGTGCGGATGGGCCCGACGAGGCCTGGGGAGCCTCAGCGGCAGTTGCGAACTGAGCGGTCGAGGGAATGTCTGGAATAGACGTCTCGTACCAGTTTGTTCCATATGAAGGCCGAGTGCCTAGCATTATACGCCTTTTGCCTACCGCAAGCAAGGCTTATTCGAAACAGAGCCAGGAGGTCGCCCCAGGCAGGCCGATTCGTAAGAGCAAGAAAGGCCAAAAAGTTGGCTCATTAGTGAGTCAATAACAATATGTTGAGTAGTGAGAGCCAATCGGGAAACTGCGGCCGACTGGGGGTGTTGAGATGTAGGAGTAACTCTTGAAAGCTTTGAACCGGGAGACTGATGACAGACACAAAGGGCAGATGGGCATACCCCACACACGAATCAAGCAATTTATAAGCCACAACGCAACAAGTTGGCCTCATAACTCCTCTCATACGATATGTGCAGAACAAACGCTTTGCTAGGGTACCAGTTTATATTCATATATATATATATATATATATATATATATATATATATATATAATCTGACCGCTTCTGAGGCGTGTCTATAGTCAGGGCGAAACGCTACCGGGAGAATGTTGTTAATGTCGCAGATTGTTCACACTAAAAATAATGAAGAAACTTAAATGTAGGTCACTGTTGCACGTTCTGTTTTATGGTTAACTACAAACGTTACCAGATTGCTACGACGTAAGTATCAGCTGTACGCTGTGTGATTTCTATTCTATAAATAACATTGAGTTTATAAGGCACGACTTACTAGTTTTAGCTATGGTTGCCAGCAATTGCTATCTCGAAAAAAAAAGACATCACGTCAATAAGCCATGCATCTTCTTCGCATCTAAGGGCAGCTTGGGCTATCGACCAATTTCAGGTATCGGTGTTGTGGTTAGCTTTCAGAGGTAATTCTTGTTAGAAAACAGAACATTTTTAAAAGGAAACGAAAATGAAGAATATCTTGGAATAAACGACATTTAGCTTAATGCCCACCATCGACTGTATGCCTTTGATAAAGCTGCACCATCGGTACTTCCTAGCAGAGCATATTTGACAATGTCTAGTCGAATTCTCTAAAGTTAGCTAAAATAACGCTTAGTCGAGTTGATTGGCCGGAATCCAAACCCGGCTCCGAAGAAGGACTACCAAGCAGCTAGACCGGTGGGAATTGTTTCGTGGGTCATTAGAACGGAACGTGCACTTGGGCTAGTAGCAATCGGGTGGATGGCTCAGGGGGTCGAGGTGGCGAAGGAATATCGATTTTATCATCAGTATCTTTGCCTGTAGTCTGTTCGACAGATCTAACGCCAGGCAAACAAGCTTTACCCTTCGCCTCTATCAGCCTCCCTGATGCTGCCGGCTAAGGTATGTTATCTCAGGATGGTACGAAATACGTGTCCAAATTCTCAGTGTCACGCGTGGATCGGTGCACCACAAGGCCTTTTAGTAGTCAGGGTTCATCTTCTCATGCAGTGATTTTTCGAGAGAAAGCAAAAGCACAATTCGTCAATTGTTTTCCTTCATTTTGGTTATAACTACACAGCTTACGATTTTTGCCAAAGCAACGCAATCACCTTGTGCCGCTCCTTGCTGTCCACTACTTTCGCTAGCGACATCGCACATAAATATTTCTCGACATATGTAAAGCTTTTGACTCCGAAGGCCTTCCTTGGTAGAGTTTTTATACTTTATACGGCCAAGAAAAGATGAAAGTCGCTACCGGTCCTCTAGTGAAACGATAGCTCTGAAACCGAAAGTCACCTCCGAAGTCAAGCCATTTCATGAAGGGGCCGGCCGAACAAACGGCTGTGCCCTTGCTTGCATGTATTCGGCCAAGATGCTGTGCTCAGAAGTGTATGGGACCATTTCGAAGTATGCGCCTTTGCAAGTGTGTTGCTAACCGATGAAGGGGACGACATGACAGCTCTCCTCGAGGGATCAGTTCATCTTCGGATATGCTAAGTGAGACGGCGAGACAGCTCAAGCGAGGCGCCAGCCAGCTTTCGCCTGCCTCGCTGTTTGACTGGAGCATTGCAGGGACGAGGATAGTAAGAACCCTTGAGTCCATTGATCAGCGAAGAGGTGACGGGCATAAGGGGTTAAGAGACGGCTGTGAGTGCGTTAGAAGGTGGAGGAAGGGGTGGGTGCAGGAGACTACTAAATGAGCACTACTGGCTGACTGGACAACGGTGAACGGAAGAATCGTGTATAATTCACCTGTCTCAAGGGTTTGGGCGATAAGTTCTTCACTAGGAGGTCCTACTCCAGCGCGGTTAAATGCCTTTACCACGATCAGGTAGCGGGTCTGGCGGCGTAGGTTGGTAAGATACGTGGACTCGAACGTGTTGTTCTGCGAAGCGTGTGTCGTCTTAAACTGATACGCGTCATCGATACTATCGGCGAGGCGATAACCAATGTAATAGCCAAGTATCACTCCGTTTTGATCACCTTTTGGCGGTGCCTGCAAACAGCAGAGACGGTGATTGCATAACAATTCGTAGTTACTATCATTGTGGTCATTATACTCATTACGGTATCACAGGACTACTTATTCTACTAACGTTAAGTAATATTAGTCACTAGGAATGATCTACGTTAACAACCTGTGATCTGTTCTGACAGCGGTATAACGTAGCTCACAGCTTTGAGATCCACTATTTCATTAAATTCAATAAACTAAATTACCGCTGGAAGCCCGGCGTATCCCAATAGTATGTCGGTCCTGCAACGCGATTGGCGCGAACTCCTATTCTCTTGGTGGAGCAGAAGAATCATAATAATGTATGTACAGCCTACAGCCAATAAGTGATAATTTGGAAGCTGTAATGATGCGTAAATTTCGTTCAGAGGAGACCTTTCGAGTTCATCGTTATCAGGATGTTTGCGTGTACCTGCCACATTCGTATGGGGTAGAGAGTTTGGCCGGAAAGAGAGGACTATTTTGTCTAGGAGAAGGGTGGCTGACGAAACGTATACGAGGAGTGGAAAGGTGGCTTTAATGGGCTTAGGACGTTTGTGTGCACAGCCACGCCTGCGAGGGACATTTATCCGGCAAACGTACACTCTGTACCACAGTACGTTCTGCCATTCTGTCGACTAAAACTGAACCACTGCTGCATGCTTCCACAATCTCAAGCAAATAAGTATCGTCGTTTCCCACTGGAGTCATCCAGATCGGCAGACTGACCCACGACGAAACAAATAGGCTAGGACAAACACACAAAAATAGAGATGAGCGCCACTGCGTGCCATGACTTTAACGAAAACGCATCTGGATGAATAACATGTAGATAGGAAATTTGTCAGGCTTGAATCGTCAATAGTCTTTGAGTGTGCTTGGGAACGAAGGCCAGGAAAAACAGGGGTAAGACATGCTCATCATGAAGGTGCCTTTATAACTTCAATAGATAAGCCCACATACCGGTCCACAGGCAGGCGTAAAGCTCATATAGCAACATGGGCGATTGGGACCTGCTGGCGTACTCAAATCATAGTGGGATCTAAAGGAGGGTGAGCGAAAATGGGCAGCAGTAGTACCAACTAGAACTCGTAGGACTATGCTCTACGAAAATCGGCTCGGGCGCTAGTGCAACAACTTTCTGGTTAGTTAGTTGGCCCATTTGATCTACGAGAGTTACGCTTTTGCCTGCACCCCTAAATCTGTCTGTGTCTTTCTTTATGTGCTGTTCGCTTCGTCTGTGTGGAGCAGAGCTCCCCCGAATTGGCCGCTCACTGCCGTTGCGCTTGCCACCACCGTCATCACTTCAATGTACCCCCCACCCCCCTTTTCCGGGGCACTGCTACTAGCTGTAGTAGAGATGCGCTTGCCCACAATTCGTTGCATTGCCGACCCGCGTTCACTTTCCGCGTCCCGACAATCCAATCCGGCGACGGCCCATCGGCGGAACTCCACAAACCTGCCAGACATACTCCCAACAATTCGTTGCTCTACACCGTATTAGCATCCTAACCGCTCTCTCTGGATCTGCCCGTTCCCTTTTCCTACACTGGCTTTCAGCCAGCCCTCCTGGCTTTTTTTCCGCCTACCCACACAGCCGCTCTTGTTGAAAAGCTAATATTATTATCAAGTGCAAACAGTCCTGTATTACGGCTGGGCTAGGTCGACGAAAGCAGCCAGAGGAGGGTGAATGCAAAATGCTAGTAGTTTGGTCGCTTAGCCGGCTCATAGCCAAGCCGGCTTCACTAGTGAGACCAAGAAGGAAGGCCAAAACCGACCCGTAACAGACAGCGTAAGCAGACAGAAGGTAAGAGCGCAAGGGAGAGCGAGCGAGTGAAAGAGAGAAAACCGCAGGCGACCGCGAAACCTCTCGCAATCCCGTCGACGGGCCGAACGACTGAGAATAGTGGAAATAAAACTAGAACTGTTGGATTCAGGTTAAACGAAGTAAGCCGTGTTCGTCGATCTAACGGAAACGCGATCACAGCACCCACTATTCCGGCATAAGACCTGTCGGTCGAACAGGAATAATAGAATAAGTCAGAGCGAATTAATGTATCGTCCACTTGTAACAGTTCGCCAAAAAAAAAACGCGTATATTGCTATGGAAGAGGTAATATGAATGTTCATTTGCTAGAGAAAACAACCTTTTTTACATTTTTGGGTTAAGAATAATCCTCGATTAGTTGTCTGCGCTAAATTTTTACTGCGACTACCCCGTTATTGGTATTAGATTTCGAGCCTGGTTTTTGATAAGCGAGCTTCGAAAATCGTTGGGTATTCATTCGGTTATAGAGAGTCGAGTGGCCTCGGCTGGTGAGGGTATGATTTGTTCTAATACTATCCAACCTTTCGTATCGTACGAATGGTCGAAACTGGAATACGGATATTCGAAGTGTGGCATTCAATAACAATATCTGTATCTGTGCTAGCTTTAATGTATATACATATATATATTCTGTGTGTGCATGTATAGGAAGGATATTTGACTTTGCAGCTCTAATTTCCACAATTTGGTCACAGCTCATCCGCAAGGGGAGTCCCTCCGCCGAGGGCGGGCGGGCGGCGCAGACCCCCGGCCATATTAGCAGAGCAACGTTTTGATACTTTAATTCACCTTTCCTACTAGCCCCTATCGAGTGGTCTAAAGGTTAGCTTCCTTGCCAGCGGTGGTATTCGAAGAATCCATCTAGCCGGTCCGGCTGATTGCCAGCTTCCCAACCATCGCAAACATAGCCGCGATGTCTGCTTGCGCTTTGGAGACTCTCTGGACGCCGCGCGACTCAGAGGTCGGAAACTGGGAACGGGCTGGATTGCTGGATGCGAAAGGGCGCTCAGAATTTAGGAAAATAAACTAACAAAACGGAGAAAAGCTCAGCTGCGGATGCGTGGATGTCGACTGAGCACTTCCACGACTACGTTGTCATCCAGAGAGGAAGTTTACCGTTGTCTTCAATTAATGAAGCGATTTACATAATGAATGGGGACGTACCCCGCTGCAGAGATTACCGCACGAAGCACACAACAAACAAAACCGTCAGCCTTTCGGTCTGTCATCATGCAAAGTGAAGAGCTACCATTGCCGGCATGCCGAGTTCCTTTCATGAGGGCCGGCGGGCGGGCTCACGGTCAGGCAGGAACCGTTGCGGCAACGCAATGGAGAGCAAAGCGCATGCCTGCTGTGCTGGACCAAGTTGAGAAGAAAATTCTGACATTGGCCTTGCGTACGGAGTATGAGTAGTGGAGAAATGGATAGCTGCGCGCAAATCATTTTCGCCCACTGCCCAGGTCTATTATATTGAGTCCTTTAAAGGTTTTCAGTGGAAAACGAGATTTGTAGCTTCGGTGCTGGTGGGTTCCATTGGTCCTATGTATCTATCTTCTGTTACGGGAAATTCGAATGTATTGGAGGGAGCGTGCTGCAGCCAACTAGATATGATCTTTGTCGAGTAGTCTGGGACGATACCGTCAAACTCGTACTGCGACCCTGTCATATTTACGCACGTAGCGCGCAGAATAAAAATTCCGTTTTTTCAGCCTGGCCGAACTTCAATAGCAAGTAGATTAACGGATCAACTTTTTTAGTCAGGCTTAGCAGACATTTAAAGCTCGTTTCTCGGGTTAAATGGTAAGCATGCCGTACATGGTCATTTGTTAAGAACCGTGAATAGCATTCATTTGAATGCAAGAAACGATAAATGGAAATTCGAGGTCGGAATTCGAGCTGGCTCACTCTATCGGCTAGATCACTTGTGTGAGTGTTCGTTCTGCCACTATTGTTACACAACGCTGCGTGTACAATACAGACAAATTCTGCCTAGAAGAAGATGCCAGAGACTAAGTTACGAAAGTAAAAAGGGGTAACGGTCGGTTTTTTTCAGAAACGTCTCTGTCTAACGTTTCCTATTTGACGCGTCTGCTTTCCCTCGACTCATACGTCAACTCGACAACAAAATAACCACCCTCCAACATGTCAATTCCAGTGTTGGTTGTTCTCTTCGGACTGTCGAATTGTTAAAGCCAGCCGGCCTGCCGGCTTCGAACATTCAACCAAAAAGATAACTCTTCGCCGGGACTAACCCTGCTTATGGCAGAGCGTGCACTTGAAAAAAAGTACTTCGTACTTGTGGATAAGAATGTATAGCCTGATGATCTGCCGTTTACAGTGATCCATTCAGAAACCTTGGCAGGGCTATTGTAACGATGTGCAGAAGAAATAATGCGCTATTTTGCGGGCAAGTAAATCGATAAAAGAGATATAAACGCGGTAGTTAAGTTTATCATCTTAATAAATCCATCTATTCATAAAAGTTAAGATCAAATGATATACCGTAATGCCATCCGGCCAGTAATGCATTGAAGTATAATTGTCTTTGACTTCGGCCTTTGGCAATTAACAGACCATCACTAGCAGGACACCGCTTCTGAAAAGAGCTTTGGATCGTCATTGCTTTGGCGTGTCTCATCATAGAATAGTGGGGCACATGATCTCGCTTGCGGTGACATCAGCCTAAAACAAAGACTCTTGAGATGAAAAAACAGATGGCAAGCGAAACGCAGAGTCTTTGTCGAATGTTATTTTTTGCTGCTGCTGCTGCTGCTACTTGTCACACTGTTGCCTGTATGACGATGATCATAAATGCACGGTATGGCGATACGTGCCATCACGTGCATTGGCTCTGTTGGCAATGGCCAGCAGTACGCCAGTGCCAGTGCCGGTGCCGGTGCCGCATGCCGTGTTGCTATGCAAATGTTACCGTCGCTGCTCGAAGGAAGCTTTGCCTCTCTGTTTCTGTCCGCAACTATCGTAACATTATCCAGGACATTTCATTGCACCCCTTCCTGTTATTTCTGCTGCTGCCGCCATCGTCACGGTCTCTGTTGCTACTAGACTCACATTTGTACTGCCATGGAAAAAATTTACGTTGTAAAGGTTGTTGCATGCGACCTGGCTAGGTTTGGATCATGGCAACGATGGAGAGCAACGTAGAGGAACGACGGAG